TAAATTATGTAGTTGGCTTGATCATTATTTTTGTAAAATCATGGTAATGCATAAACATTTTAGATAAGTTAGGAATGAGTGGTTGTTACAGTTGTACTTCAGCGAAGACCTTTTTGAAACTGAGTATTTTTTGTTGTTCTCTTCTAAGTATAGCCATGCATTGATGTCTTATTGATGTTGTTAGGTTGCTGTCTCATTGACATATAGCCCACACCTCCTTTAAGTCATTTATATAGTTTTTTGCCTAATGTGCATTTATCCTGCATTAACCTTATCTTAAAATATTTAGATCAGCTCATTTCCTGAAGTAAATTATTTTGCAAAAGTACAATATATAAGATAAAATGCACAATAGAAAAAAGAATTTTCATGCTAAATTTCTTTAATTGTATCATTTAGAGATGGATTGAATCCACGTTACAAAGTAGGACAGTATTCTAAAAGGATTTACCCATTTACACATTGGTTCTGTCAATAGACTTTGTTTTATCTTGATTGTCTAGAAATTGGTTCTAGTTAATAGATCATAATTCGTCATGATGCTATGTTATTGATATATTACTTCAATCATTTGTGTGGTCATTAGGGATCTGTGTTGATGTCTGTGGGAAGCCAAGTTCATTAATGATAAATACAGAGATTAGGGAAGGAGTATAGAAATTTCAATTTCTGAATTAAAATTTTATGATATAATGATTTAGTACAAAGAAATGTTAAACTGTTATGAATGAAAATTGAAAAGGATTTTCTCAGTAAGGATTCAAAAGGTAGACCAACCATATTTTCCATCCTAATTTCATCAAGGCTTAAATTGCAATTCTTGTTTAATAATGAAAAGTGGACAAGAAATCAATAAATTGTTCCGTATAATTCCTTTAAGCTCCAGTTCATTTACCCAAACTCCTTATGCCAAATCCTTAATTCCCCAATACATAACTCCCTAGTTCCTGATGTTAAAAGCTAGCAATCTTATTTGTCAATTCCCTGACCAGAAATATGTAGGGAAACATAGGATTAACTCACAGATAATTCCATGCGTACATTACACATAGGGTGATTGCTTGAGGTAAGTCTCTGCCAAACAGGGTGATTGGTGGTGGTGAATCTCTGCCAAACAGGGTGATTGGTGGTGGTGAATCTCTGCCAAACAGGGTGATTGGTGGTGGTGAATCTCTGCCAAACAGGTGATTGTTGGTGGTGTTGAATCACTGCCAAACAGGGTGATTGCTGGTGGTGATTCTCTGTCAAATAGGGTGATTGCTGGTGGTGTCAAATCACTGCCAAATAGGGTGATTGCTGGTGGTGTTGAATCACTGCCAAATAGTGTGATTGCTGGTGGTGTCAAATCACTGCCAAATAGGGTGATTGCTGGTGATGAATCATTGCCAAACAGGGTGGACACTGCCAAACAGAGTGATTGCTGGTGGTGAATTACTGCCAAACAGGGGGATTGCTTGTGATTAAGAGTCACAGATAACCCTGAAATTTATGACCATATCTCATATACATGTACAGAGAGATATAATTTCATAGTGAATTTACCCTGCAATCACCATGATTTAAGTTGTAAAAAATCACCAAGAACACAGTATTGAGATTTTTCATATCACCGACTGTAAATGTCCCATCCTTAACATATACATATATATCAAAATGAATTCACAACATTTGGACCTGAGCACCTCGTCATTGCCTCTAGCTGTACCAATAAATTTTCAGGCAGAGTAAAAAAAAGTCTAAAATATTAGCTTTTGGTATTTCTTTAAAATTTACCCTTTGTATGTATACCTCTTCCAGAATTGTAAATCCCCTTCAAAGCTCAATAAGCTAATATATATAATATATCTTTAGGATTCTGAAACTAATGATGAATCTTGTAATATAAAATGTGATCTATATGAGGTTGAGTAATATAATATAATAAGGAATGACTGTACAGTAAACCATGGAAATGTTGCCTAAAATATCATCCAATCAAAAGTGGTGCTACATGTACACATAATGTTGCTTATTTATGAAGTGTACAAGCTTAATTAGTTTCAATAGTAAATTTTTAAGTAAATCCTGGAAATTGTTACATTTAAAAAAAATTTCTATCAGTTTGCTGTTTTATAATCATAATCTTTAAAAAATTGTGATGGGATTGCTTTCACATAAAAAAAGTTTCACTATAATATTTTGTATTATTATATATAGATGTATGCAGCATTAATAAATGCTTGCAAAAATTTATGAATTTCAGTGGCGGATCCAGTGGGGGGGTTCTGGTGGTTAGAACTTTCCTTTTTTTTTGACGATCATTGCTTTTGAATTTGAACATATGGTTGGAACCCTCCCCCCCCCCCCCCCTTTTTATCCTGGGTTGGAAACCCCCCCTTTTTAAAAGTTGCTGGATCCGCCCCTGAATTAAGTTTTACCCTTGTCCGTCTGTACCTACGTACATACGTAAGAACGTCCATACGTCCCAAAATTGGTTTCCATTCTCTAACTTGAGTTTGCTTCTAGAGTTATGCCCCTTTATAAATGGAAACATTACAGAATTTTTAGTTTCCTTTCTCTAATTTAAGTTTGCCTCAACCAAATGTTATGAAACTTATACACAATGCTTATTACTATAAAACACAGATCAAGTTTGAATTTTAGTGGCGTCACTTTAACCGTTCTAGAGTTATGCCCCTTTATAAATGGAAAAATTGCAAAATTTTTAGTTTCCGTTCTTTATCTTAAGTTGTCTCCACCAAATATGAAACTTATACACAATGCTTATGACCACAAAATACAGATCAAGTTTGAATTTTGGTAGCGTCACTCTAACCGTTCTAGAGTTATGCCCCTTTATCAATGGAAAAATTACAAAATTTTTAGTTTCCTTTCTCTAACTTAAGTTTGCCTCAACCAAATGTTATGAAACTTATACACAATGCTTATTACCACAAAATAAAGATCATGTTTGAATTTTGGTGGGGTCACTTTAACCATTCTCAAGTTATGCCCCTTTATAAACCAAAAAATTGCAAAATTTTTAGCTTCTGTTCTCTAACTTAAGTTGCCTCAACCAAATGTTATGAAACTTATACACAATGCTTTTTACCTCAGAACAGAGATCAAGTTGAATTTTGGTGGCATCACTTTAATCATTATCAAGTTATGCCCCTTTATAAATCGAAAAAAATTGCAAAATTTTTAGTTTCCGTTCTGTAACTTAAGTTTTCCCCAACCAAACATTATGAAACCTTTCAACAATACTTATTTCCACAAAACTCAGATCAAGTACAAATTTTGGTAGCCTCACTTTTATTGTTCTTGAGTTATGTCCCTTTATAATGTTGTATGCAAGCGGGGGCACATTCTCCATTAATTTTTTTTGAATTGAGGTCTATTTGATCTGAACCCATGATGACATATTTAGTCATGACGGTGATGATGTAGAATCTGATGAGGGATAGAGCACTGTAAAAAAATTTATATTCCTGTACCAATTTTTCGTGGCTTGAGGAAACTTGCATTTTCTTGGATATTTTTAATTTCTTGGTTTAATTTGCAATGGCTGCATTCAAGCCTTTAGAAAATTTGTAATTCGTTTAACATTAAAATTTGTGGTTCACCTGTACCCACGAACCCCACTAAAATTTGTATTCCATGAATAATAATGAGTCCACAGTATTGGATTTTTACGATTTATTAGTTTTTGTCGAGCCTGCGACTTTTGTCGCAGAAAGCTCGACATAGGGATAGTGATGCGGCGGCTATGGCGGCGGTGGCGGCATTAGCTAACTTCTTAAAAGCTTTATATTTTAGAAGGTGGAAGACCTGGATGCTTTATACTTTGTATATAGATGCCTTATGTTACGAAGTTTCCATCTGTCACATGTCCATTGTCCTTGACCTCATTTTCATGGTTCAATGACTACTTGAAAAAAAAGTTAAGATTTTTTGTAATGTTAATTTCTCTCTTCTTATGAGTAATAGGATAACTATATTTGGTATATGCGTACCTTGCAAGGTCCTCATGCCCGTCAGACAGTTTTCACTTGACCTCGACCTCGTTTCATGGATCAGTGAACAAGGTTAAGTTTTTGTGGTCAAGTCCATATCTCAGATACTAGAAGCAATAGGTCTAGCATATTTGGTGTATGGAAGGACTGTAAGGTGTACATGTCCAACTGGCAGGTGTCATCTGACCTTGACCTCATTTTCATGGTTCAGTGGTTATAGTTAAGTTTTTGTGTTTTGGTCTGTTTTTCTTATACTGTATGCAATAGGTCTACTATATTTGGTGTATGGAATGATTGTAAGGTGTACATGTCTAGCTGGCAGGTGTCTTCTGACCTTGACATCATTTTCATGGTTCAGTGGTCAAAGTTAAGTTTTTGAGTTTTGGTCTTTTTTTCTAATACTATATGCAATAGGTCATCTATATTTGGTGTATGGAAATATTTTATGATGTACATGTCAGCCTTGCAGGTTTTATTTGACCTTGACCTCATTTTCACAGTTCATTGCTCAGTGTTAAGTTTTTGTGTTTTGGTCTGTTTTTCTAATACTATAAGCAATAGGTCAACTATATTTGTTGTATGGAAGAATTGCAAGCTGTACATGTCTGCCTGGCATGGTTCATCTGACCTTGACCTCATTTTCATGGTTCATTGGTCAATGTTTAGTTTTCTTGGTTAAGTCTGTATCTTAGAAACTATAAATAATAGGTCAACTATATCTAGTATATTGAATGATTGTAAGGTGTGCATGTATTTCTTGTTTGGTTTATATGACCTTGACCTCATTTTCTTGGATCATGTTAAGTATATGTGATAGTTGTAGTAAAGCTTTATATTTAGGACTATCAACATAATATCAATGATTAGTAAAGAAGGTGAGACATTTCAGCGTGTGCACTCTTGTTACTTATCCTGGGGATCTGAAGCAGCAGAACCTTGTGACACATGTCTTCCTTTGTATACTCAAACATTTTTATGTATATATTGTTATTCTTTATTTTATAGTGGGATCAGACAGATCTGAAGCTGGAGGAAGCGTTGGATGTTGCGGATATATTTTATGGTTTCTGTCAATCCTTCTTATCATTTGTACGTTTCCATTCTCTATGTGTTTAAGTATAAAGGTAGGTATTTATACAATAACTGACTATACCCAAACACTCTACCCTAAAGGTTGACTGATGTACAGAAATGGGGTTATACCTCTTGAATTCTCTCGTTAGACAGTATGTCCCATACCAAGGGGGCATCTGTTTGGCTGTCCAGGATGTATATATATACATGAAAGCAGTCATTTACTGTTGAAATGTGGGTGTGAAATCATTGGGAGCAGTGGCAGATCCAGGGGGAGGGGGTAGAGGGCATACATGTATATTCACATTTATGCACTGCTGTGTACCAAGATGCATGAGAAAATTTCACAATTTTATATCAACAACAACCTAGAGTGAAAAATTGTTGTTCAGCTGTTGCAGTAACATATCTCTAATTTCTCAATTTTAATTCTCTCTATTAACAAAAAAGTCCTAGATATATGTCTGCCCTACTAAAATTGCATAAAACTATATTAATTTTCGAACAGGACTTTTTGTTGTTGACATAAAAAAAAATTTATTTTTGAGGAAATATAGGACAAATGTGTATGATGTCAGCACAAAATATACGACATCATGACACAAATGCAAGTTTTTGTCTCAGTTGATTTATTCCATCTAATTGACATAAAGCACTCGTCTCACGTATGTAGTTGGATCGAAAACTAAGTAAAGGCAGCATCTGTTACTAGACAAGAATACTATTGGTATTGAAAATGTTGATAATGAGCTTAATTCACTTAAATTTCAATTAAATTGCATTTTGCTGAAAATATTTTTGATAGTGTATATCAGAAATAATAAAGGCATATTAAATGGATGTTATTGATTTGTAGTAAGCAAATCTATGATGAATTTATATTACATTGAACTTTCATATATATAAAACCTGAAATGACTGTCCATTGGCTGATGGTAGTTAGCATTTATTCTTAACTAATTAATTTGTATATATGGAATGTATTGATTTTGGTAGAAATAATCAGAAATGAAGAATTGTGTCAATATTTTGGATTTAATGAAATATTTTGCAAATTAGGCCAAAGAAAGAAGTACATGTATATGTGTTTCAGGAGATGATATATTCTTAGGTAGAAAATTATTTTAATTTTGATTTTTTTAAATAAGGGTCAAGTAAAGGATCAACATATTTTTTTCTTCAAAACCTTGATCTACAAAACATTCTCTGTAATAACTGAAGGTACAGATGGTAAATACACTACAAACTGCTCAGAGTCTGAAAAGACCAGTTTTTGTGCTCGACCAATAAAGTCCAGCACAGATTTTACTCGACTAGACTCGACTTTGTCTCGACAGTACTTAACTGTACTTAACTGTACTCGACTTTGGTCTCGACTTTACTTAATGAGTCTGATTCAGTACTTGATGATCTTGGTGTAGTCTGAAATGGTCTCGACCAAGGCTCGACCAGTCTTACCCTGTCTCATCCTGTCTCGACCAGTCTTGACTCAGTCTCGACCTGTCTCGACCAGTCTTGACTCAGTCTCGACCTGTCTCAACTATTCTTGACCTTCAAATTTAGTCTTGACTGGTCTGAATCAGCCTATCTAACTAAATTAAATATTCATCTTACAAAATTCCAGGTTATTTGGTAGTTAGTTCGTTGCTGTGAAATTAAAGAAATTAATTAATAGGTAAAAAAAGCAAGAGTTTTCAGTTTTGATTAAATTCAGATAGTCATCTTTAATTATTTCTATAACTTTTTCAAATCAACTTGGATTTTCATAAACCTATACAGCTATCTCAACTATTAATACTGATCTTACTGAATCCCAGGTCGTTATGTAGTTTGGTGTATTGCTGTCAAATATAAGGATTTAATTACTAGTAATAGGTAAAAAAAAGCAAGAATTTAAATTTTTTTATAACTATTTCAAAGCAAATTGGGTTTTCATCAAAATCTACAGCTATCTCCATTATATAATTATCTTAAAAAATACCAGGTTATTTGTTAATTTGGTTTAAAACTGTCAAATAAATTAAACTACATAGGTTTCATGATTATACACAATAGTTATATAGTTATATAATTAATTATCTTTTTAATGAGGTAACAACAGCCAACAAAATCAATGAAATTGTTTAATAAAGTTGAGAATGGAAATGGGTAATATGTCAAAGAGACAGCAACCTGACCAAAGAGCAGACAACACATGAAGGCCACCAAAGGGTCTTCAACACAGCGAGAAAATTCTGCACCCGTAACCTTATATTAGAAATATATCTATTATTATAATTTGGGATATAGTATATATAACATATATCAAAAGCGGATAAACAATTAAAGAAATTAATAAAATTGTTCTTCTGATTAGTGGTGAAGTATAAAGTAATATCTCCTGCTTGGGGCAAACTCATTAAAAAGATCACAACCTGGTCCGAGAGTATTAAATTCTAAATAACATTCATTCAAAATTGCAACATCCTGTTTAACTTAAATCGCAAGGCCTTTTGCATTCACTAGATAAGTAATACACGAGTTTAAGAAAAATAGGGCGTTCTTTTTACCTGTAAAACACACATATACTGATGTAATTAAACCTTATTAAAGTGCTTCTTGTATACCATGTCTTTAATTTTGACAAAAATTATTTTAAAAGGTTATCAAGGATTCCTATGAAAGTTCTAGTATCATGATTATATTAAATTCTTGTTTTAACAAAACAAAGGTGGCATTTTTAAAATTTTAAAACTTTTTTCAAATCTTAATTATATATTTATCTTACAAAATGCCAGATTGTTTTGTATGTTGGTGTGTTGCTGTCAAATTTAATGACTTAGGTATAGGGTAAAAAGGCTGAAATATTTTAATTTGACAGCAATAAACCAAATTAACAGATAACCTGGTATTTTGTAAGATAAATATATAATGGAGATCTTGCGATAGCTGTAGATTTTGATGAAAATCCAAGTTGCTTTGAACCAGTTATAAAAAAAATTGAAGATGACTATCTGAATTTAGTCCAAACTGAAAATTCTAGATTTTTTTACCTTGATTAATTAAATCTTTAAATATGACAGCAATATGCCAAACAACATAACAACCTGGAATTCGGAAAGATCAATATACAACTGAGAAAGCTGTATAGTTTTTATGAAAATCCAAGTTAATTTGAAAAAATAATAAACAAATTTAAAGTTGACTGGCTGAATTCAGTCCCACTGAAAATTCTAGCTTTTTTTACCTATTAATTAAATCCTAAAATTTGACAGCAATGCACCAAACTACATAACGACCTGGGATTCAGTAAGATCAATGTATAATTGAGATAGCTGTATAGTTTTATGAAAATCCAAGTTGATTTGAAAAATTTACAGAAATAATTAAAGATGACTATCTGAATTTAATCAAAACTGAAAATTCTTGCTTTTTTTTACCTATTAATTTACTTCTTTAATTTCCCAGCAACGAACCAACTACCAAATAACCTGGAATTTTGTAAGATCAATATTTAATTTAATTAGATGGGCTGATTCAGACCAGTCGAGACAAGTCGAGACCGAGTCGAGACTGAGTCAAGACTGGTCGAGCCTTGGTCGAGACCATTTCAGACTACACCAAGATCATAAATTACTGAATCAGACTTATTAAGTAAAGTCGAGACCACAGTCGAGTACAGTTAAGTTCTGTCGAGACAATGTCGAGTCTAGTCGAGTAAAATTTGTGCTCGACTTTACTGGTCGAGCACAAAAACTGGTCTTTTCAGACTCTGAGCAGTTTGTAGTGATAGGAAACTTCAGATATTTCATATTTTTTTCTTCTGTGTTTTACAGACTTCCTTGAAGGTAAAATTTCCTTTAACCTCTTACTCAACCAAGCCTTGTTTAGAAATTGTTTACCCTTGGTTGCTTGGTATTTCCTGGTTTGAACTCTTGCTGCTTTTGTACTGTAAATACAGACATTTTTATGTGTAATTATTATTATATGACCGCAAAAAGTTTTTAGGTTAGGATTTGCTTTGGGGGGTTATGGCTCAAACCGTTTAGGAATTAGGGGCAAAAAAGGGGGAAAACAAGGTTGTCCTGGTTAATGGACAAATACTTTAGTACAAAACATAATTTAAAGCAGTGTAATGGAGATAAATCAAATACATCATTGAAATTACCTCCCTTACACTGCTTTTAAATTATGTATAAAGTAATAGTTAATGAACAATTAAGATAATTTAAAACAGTGTAAGGGAGGTAATCCAAATACAATGTTTTGGTTACTTCCCTTACACTGCTTTTAAATTATGTTTAAAGAAATGCATATTTATAAAGGAAGACCAGTAAAAATATCTGCAAATGTTGCAACTATTTTTTTACCAAAAAATCCATATGAAAGATTTGACACTATATTTTAAATTCTATTATAAAATAGATTAAGTTAGCACTATGGTAAATTTAAATGGGTAATTATGGTTGCAAACTCCATTGGAAATTTGAATTGAGATTATGACCATATCTTGAGGGAAAGAATTTTTTGGGGGAAAAAAGGGGGGGGGGGGGGGTAAAAAGAAATTGTGGGGGGTCAATTTTTTCTCATTTCAGATTTCATAAAATTTAAAAAGAATTATTCTTCAAATATTATTTTTTTTTCAAATTTCAAATATTGAAAAATTTCAAGAAGTAATCTTTAATTGCACAGTATGGCGCATTAGATTTGTAAAATCTTTGACCACATTTATTTATTTGTTATGCCGATTCTAACCGTGTATTTAGAATTTTAATTTTGGGTCCTGTTTTCAAATTGGTCTACATTAAGGTCCAAAGGGTCCAAAATTAAACTTTGTTTGATTTTAACAAAAATTGAATATATGGGGTTCTTTGATATGCTGAATCTAAACATGTATTTAGATTTTTGATTTTTGGCCCAGTTTTCAAGTTGGTCAAAATTGGGGTCCAAAATTAAACTTTGTTTGATTTTAACAAAAATTGAATATATGGGGTTCTTTGATATGCTGAATCTAACCATGTATTTAGATTTTTTATTTGTGGACCCCGCTATCAAATTGGTTCATATTAAGGTCAAAAGGGACCAAAATTAAACTTCTTTTGATTTCATCAAAAATTGAATTATTGGGGTTCTTTGATATTCCAAATCTAACCGTGTATTTAGATTTTTAATTTTGGGTCCTGTTTTTTAAATTGGTCTACATTAAGTTCCAAAGGGTCCAAAATTAAACTTAGTTTGATTTTAACAAAAATTGAATTCTTTGGGTTCTTTGATATGCTGAATCTAAACATGTGTTTAGATTTTTGATTATGGGCCCAGTTTTCAAGTTTGTCCAAGTTGGGGTCCAAAATAAAACTTTGTTTGATTTCAACAAAAATTGAATATATGGGGTTTTTTGATATGCTGAATCTAACCATGTATTTAGATTTTTTATTTGTGGGCCCCGCTATCAAATTGGTTCATATTGAGGTCAAAAGGGTCCAAAATTAAACTTTGTTTGATTTCATCAAAAACTGAATTATTGGGGTTCTTTGATATTCCAAATCTAACCGTGTTTTTAGATTTTTAATTTTGGGTCCCGTTTTTTAAATTGGTCTACATTAAGGTCCAAAGGGTCCAAAATTAAACTTAGTTTGATTTTAACAAAAATTGAATTCTTTGGGTTCTTTGATATGCTGAATCTAAACATGTGTTTAGATTTTTGATTATGGGCCCAGTTTTCAAGTTTGTCCAAGTTGGGGTCCAAAATTAAACTTTTTTTTATTTCAACAAAAATTGAATATATGGGGTTCTTTGATATGCTGAATCTAACCATGTATTTAGATTTTTTATTTGTGAGCCTTGCTATCAAATTAGTTTATATTGAGGTCAAAAGGGTCCAAAATGAAACTTAGTTTAATTTTAACAAAAATTGAATTCTCGGGGTTCTTTGATATGCTGAATCTCAACATGTGTTTAGATTTTTTATTATGGGCCCAGTTTTCAAGTTTGTCCAAGTTGGGGTCCAAAATTAAACTTTGACGTTTGATTTCAACAAAAATTGAATATATGGGGTTCTTTGATATGCTGAATCTAACCATGTATTTTGATTTTGGACATTGGACCATAATAGGTAAATTAAAAAAATTCAAGTTCTTTGACCACATTCTTTCTGTGTCAGAAACCTATGCTGTGTCAAATATTTAATCACAATCCAAATTCAGAGCTGTATCAAGCTTGAATGTTGTGTCCATACTTGCCCCAACTGTTCAGGGTTCGACCTCTGCGGTCGTATCAAGCTGCGCCCAGCGAAGCATTTTATTGTGATGTGTATTTGTTAAACAATGGACAAAAATGAGATAGATTATTATGACTTGAGGAAATGCTAACAAATTTTACATTGTAAGTTTTAATTTTGCAAAACACATCTCATTGCAATTTTTGGAATGATAACAACATTACAAACATTTCTTATCTACATTATTCTGAATTTCTTTTTGAATTTGAGTGATAGAATGTGTAAAAAAAATCAGTGTTCAGTTAAACTATGATGGTAAATGTATATTCTTAAGTATTTAAGAATGTCAGCTTTAAAGTCAGTAATTGTTCAGGACATGTCACAGGAGCTTGTATCATAGATGGTTTTAGGTCGGAAATATATGTCAGTAAATTGGTATGTGTTCTATACAATGTAGAATGCATACCAGTTGACTGATATATTTCGGATCCAAAAATATCTGTGATACTAGCCCCTGTGGACATGTATATTTACTTATCATGTATATATGTACACAGGAAAAAAATCTTTACATCGATGTCAACCAAACTTCAAAATTTCTTGTTTCAGGTTGTTCAAGAATATGAAAGAGCAGTGATATTCCGACTTGGTAGACTGGTATCAGGTGGTGCTAAGGGACCAGGTAAAATAGAAACAGCAACACAACAATGCAGTTTCCAATGAAGCCAATATGACACAAAAAGAGGGGGGGGGGGGGGTAGATTAACCTGCTCAGAAAAGACAAAAGATAATTTTATTCCCACAAGTTCTTTAGTTTAACAAAAAAACTACTGTTTTTGTTCTTGCTCACTGATAATGCATCTGTGAAATATACTGAGTAAAAAAAGTTTAGCAACATGTATTTTGATTATAAAGCTTTAAATTACAAATTTCCCAAGTTGTGGAAATACATTTTTAATACTGTTTCTGTATAGTAATATTGAACCTTATGATTTATTTTCTTTTTTGCAATAATTTATTTATTGTTTTGTTTAAAAGCATACATTTTTTTAGAAATATGAAATTAAAATATTTGTTGCTAATTTTTTTTACTCAGTATAGTACCAAGCATGTAGATACTGAAATTTAAACTCATATCAAAAATAACTTTGGTTTTTAGATATAAGAAGATGTGGTATGAGTGCCAATGAGACAACTCTCCATCCAAGTCAAATTTTATAAAAGTAAACCATTATAGGTCAAAGTACGGTCTCCAACACAGAGCCTTGGCTCACACCAAACAGAAAGCTATAAAGGGCCTGAAAAATTACTAGTGTAAAACCATTCAAACGGGAAAACCGACGGTCTAATCTATATAAAAAACGGAAACGAGAAACACTTATGAACCACATCAACAAACGACAACTACTGAACATCAGATTCCTGACTTAGGACAGGTGCAAACAATTGCAGAGGGTTTAAACGTTTTAATGGTACGAAACCTTTACCCTTATCTGAAACAATAGTGTAACATCACAACATAGAAAGACACACTATAAAATATCAATTGAAATGGCTTAACTCAATCAAAAGACATTTTAACACCAGTGAACATACACTGAACAAATAAATTTGATCTATGATACAATGTAAATACAAAAAAAATAAACTAAGGGAAGAATAATTAAAGTAACGTGTTATACCGCTGTGAAATGTTGAACAATTTAAGAAAAACAATATGCTTGAACAAAAATATCAGCCATTTGCAATTACTTTAAACACAGGTATTTGCCTATATGTTTTTTTTCACCATGGAATTCAAGTTCAGGATATTGGAAATATCAAGAGATCACTAATGCTTGTGAATCAACAATTTAAATTATATAATTTTAATGGGATATGGAAAATTTAAAGTTTCTGAGTAGGGAGTTTTTTGGTGGATAGTTACATGTATGTAGATACAAACTTTGTGATGGGTAACTTTAGGTAGGGAGATGTGAAACAAATTGTATTTCAAATAATTTTGTTCAAAAATTTATTTATGCATCCTGAGAAGAAGGGTGAATCCTGAATTGTCAATAACGACTTGTTTATGAAGCTATTAGACCATTACTCTTAGACAAAAGATGATTTACTTCATAGTATTTTTCACAACAATTAGAATATTAACAGCTTGGTTTGTAGAATTACAGCTACACTACAGTGCTATTCTAAACAAAGTTTTCTACACGTGTGTAGCTTGGTAGTTTTAGTTTTATCTTCACTATTCTGTTTATAGATTCCTTAACCATGATTGACTTGTGAACAATGTCATTTGCTGTTCCCTCGTGGGAGGTAACATTTTGATATCTGATTATGATTATTTTATCTTTATAGGTCTGTTTTTCATCATACCCTGTATAGATTCCTATACAAAGGTGGACATGAGGACAGTATCTTTTGATGTTCCCCCACAAGAGGTAACATAACATTAAGGCCTACTACATTCCTCTTCAAATTCAATAGGCAATATTAATACAAGGCTTATATACTTAACTGCTTCTCATGAGGTGAAATAACATTTAAAGAAAAAAAGAAAAATAGACAAAAAAGAAAAAGAATAGACAGTACATGTAATAGGGTTCTAACATATAAAGAGAGAATAATGGTCAAAATAGATAAAGAATAAAGACTAGAATTGTCTAAAAGATAAAGAATAAAAATGAAGACCCCATAAAGACACTCTTTACTGTTAATTCAAGTTAATAATGGTGGTGATCTACTTTTTTATGCCCCCGCCGAAGCGGAGGGGGCATTAAGTTTTGCCCTTGTCCGTCTGTCCGTACGTTCCAAAATTGGTTTCCGTTCTCTAACTTAAGTTTGCCTCAACCAAATGTTATCAAACTTATACACAATGCTTATTACCACAAAACACAGATCAAGTTTGAATTTTGGTGGCGTCACTTTAACCATTCTAGAGGTATGCCCCTTTATATTTTTATATTTCCGTTCTCTAAAGTTTGCCTCAACCAAATGTTATGAAACTTATACACAATGCTTATTACCACAATACACAGATCAAGTTTAAATTTTGGTGGCGTCACTTTTACTGTTCTAGAGTTATGCCCCTTTACAAATGGAAAAATTGCTAAATTTTTCTTTTTTTTTTTTAAAATATCAATGATGTCATTGTTCAAGTAATTTTTAAAATTGGAGTTATCTTCCTTTGTCCATGATTATAGTTGAATCAACTACAATCAATGCTTTATACAATGCAATTTTTAATTTTGCCTTCCACTGATAAAACACAGATCAAGTTGAATTTGGGTAGTGTCACTTTAACCATTATTGAGTTATGCCCCTTTTATAAATAAAAAAAATTGCAAAATTTTTAGTTTTCTTTCTGTAACTTAAGTTTGCCCCAACCAAACATGAAACCTATACACAATACTTATTACCACAAAACTAAGATCAAGTACAAATTTGGGTAGCGTCACTTTTATTGTTCTTGATTTATGTCCCTTTATAATGTTGTATGCAAGCGGGGGCATCATCTGTTTCCATGGGGACATATTCTCCATTTATTTTCCTTTTGTATGATTCAGTTTATAAAAGATAAGATATTGGTATGATTTATTAACTGGTGCTGTATATAGAGTATATTATATGGCTTTTTCAATATCACATCTGTATCAACCCGAGACACCAATATAATCCCAAGAGCTGTGCTCGAGGGATTATATTAGTTGAGGGCTGATAGGGTGTGTGATATTGAAAAAGGGATATCATATACACTTTATTATATATCTCAGGTAGATGTTTTTTTCATGTGATGGTGACTGATATCGATGACGTGACGTCATACAGATTAAGGGAGTGATAAAGCCTAATTGCAACCTTGACTGATATCGATCTTATCACGGATGGCTGATACAGCAGGATTGCCATTGATCGTATTACACATACAATTTACATGTATTTACTACTAAATATATAATAAAATGAGTTATACCATAGAATGCATATATTTCAAAAAGTGTATTTTTAAACTAATATATCATGTAACAACATACTAAGCCTATATTTTTGTTAATTAGGTTTTGACGAAAGATTCTGTAACAGTGGCAGTTGATGCTGTTGTGTATTATAGGATACAGAATGCAGCCATGTCAATAACAAATGTAGAGGATTCTAACAGGTCAACGCGTCTTCTTGCCGCTACTACCCTCAGAAATGTTCTTGGAACAAAGAATCTCGCTGAGATTTTGTCTGACAGGGAATCCATCAGTCATGTTATGCAGGTAAAACTTAAATATGTTAATTATTAACCAGAAGGAACTCTAACTTTAGTTTAAGTGAATGGATCTCTATGAAATTTTACCATAAGGTTCAATACCACAAAAGGAAGGTTGGGATTGATTTTGGGGGTTATGGTACCAACAATTAAGGAAAAAGGGGCCAAAAATAAGCATTTTTGTAACTTCCAGACAATAACTTGTGTGTTAGTTTATGGATCTCTCTGACATTGTACCACAAGATTCCATATCAGAAAGGGAATGCTTGGATTGATTTTGGGGGTAATTGCCTCAAAATTTTAGGAATTGGGGCCAAAAAATGGGCAAAAAACAAGCATTTTTCTAGTTTCATGACAATAACTTGTGTGTAAGTGTATGGATCTTTCTGAAATTGTACTACAAGGTTCCATATCACAAAGGAAAAGCTGGAATTGATTTCGGGGGTAATTACCCAAATTTGGGGCCAAAAATAAGCATTCTTCTAGTTTCCAGACAATAACTTGTGTTCAGGTGTATGGATCTCTCCGAAATTGTACTGCAAGGTACCATACCACAAAGGGAAGGCTGAGATTGATTTTGGGGGTAATTGCCTCAAAATTTTAAGAATAAGGGGCCAAAAAGGGGCAAAAAACAACCATTTTTTTAGTTTCAGGACAATAGCTTGTGTGTAAGTGTATGGATCTTTATGAAATTGTACTACAAGGTTCCATATCACAAAGGGAAAGCTGGGTTTGAGTATGGGGGTAATTGCCTTAAATATTTAGGAATTTGGGGCCAAAAAGGGGCCAAAAAACAAGCATTTTTCTAGTCTCCAGACAATAACTTGTGTTCAAGTGTATGGATCTCTCAGAAATTGTACTGCAAGTAGGCCATAATCTTGCCGGCGAAATAACGATTTAAGTCGCCAAAGAATTTTGAAAATCGCTAAATCTCGCCGGCTAACTGACTTCATAGCGAAGTCAAATCGCTATCAAAATAGGTAAAAGGGAGACAGCTTGTGATTGACAAATATCACAGGTAAAAAAATGGCGGCTGACAAGGATAATCGAGATTTTCGAAACGACCCAGGACTAATACTGTCAACGATCAAATTAAATAAATACAACGGCGACTTTGAACATCCTCGGATATAACATTCAAAACTATTCAAACAGAAAACTGACCGTCTGGTTAAGTTATCATTTTACGATGATTTTCATCTGAGGATGTTGCGTATCACTCAGCTGATTTGTTTTATTTTTATTACTTACACGAGTCGATCAATTTTACTATTCGGTAGGTAAAGGGGGGAATAAACGGTAGATTTATTATATTGATTGAATAAAAATTGAAATATAAAAGGTAGAAAGACAGCTGATGGATAATGTGATTGCAAACGTACGACACTCGACCAGATTGTGATCATCAGTGGATTTTTTCTCACGACCATTTCGTTGATATGGATGATATTTTAAAAAAAATGATAGAAATTAGCTCTTTATTGCATAATTAAAATGCGATTGAAAGATATTTTCATTTATAGACTTACAATTTTTAACGATAATCTCAATTTACAACTGACTAACTTAATGTCCTGGACATTCAATAATGTTTTACAAAATAATGACAAGTGGTGATATAAATTAAATTCCCAGTCATGTCAAATTCGTCAGGTAAACCGGGAGTCATATTTTTTCTGTACTTTAAAAAAAAAATTGAGGCAGATGCACATGAATTAAATGCATCATAATCATGATAATACTACTAGGCTACTCCCTCATGTCCCAATCAACAAATTTTATTTAGAACACATTATCAGTCAGAGATATAACTCTATAGGGTTATTACAGAAAATAACTTGTGTGTGTTATTACAGATACTTTCATGAGTTGTCTACTCTTTATTCCTTAAATTTTCTAAATCTGCAATATATGGCGCGGAATCAGGGTCAAAAATACTTATTTACGTATATACAGAATTATTTCTGTATATACAGAATTCGATTTACGTATATACGTAAATCGAATTCCGTATATACGTAAATCGAATTCTGCATATACAGAAATAATTATGTATATAAGTCAATAATTTCGTATATACAGAAATAATTATGTATATACGAAATTCGATTTACGTATATACGTAAATCAATTTACGTGTATACAGAATTCGATTTACGTATATACGGAATTCTTTGTGTATATACGTTAATATTTTTGTATACTAGACATCAATACAACCTGCCAATGAAATTCATTGTTATAACAATGATTTCTCTTTTCTATGACTAATGAGAACCGAGAGAGACATTTTCTTCCATTTACGTGGGTTCGGATTCCGGGTTTCAGTTCAGGATCTAACTCTCGTTTTGGGGGGGTGGGAGGTTAAAACAGCAACAATAAAACTTATGCATAAAATAGGCAAATTAACTCATATGTTTAACAAAAAACACATCAGAGATGTATATTGTCAAATAAAACCTTGAGAGGAATATTCGATTTCGAAAGTTTTTTAATGAATTAAGCGCGACTACGAACAGACAATCATAACAGCTTCAATTGTACTCTCGTTTATATATTCCGGATTAAAAAAAATAAATAAGCATATTTTACCAGCAAAATATCATATCTGGGAACATTGGTTTTCACGTATTATGTTGTTTTTTTCAATTTTTTTTGGGTGCATATTTTTTGTTAGCTTGCTTGTTTGTTTATGTTTAAAATCACTTAATTTTGACAACAGACACGCTTTAATTACATTTGTAGTTTGATATAACAATAAGTGGCACTTTAAAGTAAATAAACTGACCTTCTCTAGAACTGCCAGTTTAATATTAAGCAATGTATTGATTCAGTTTAATTGGCATAAATAGCAGGAAGCATACCAAAGTCACAGTACAATCTCGTACAACATGATCAAAGGACAAGGCACCTCCAGGAAAACAGACGAGGACAAAATAACAAGGTGTGGGATTAAACACGAAACACAAACACCGAAAACACTAAAAACCAAAGCATGGACAATGCGAACACTCAAACTCTCAAACAAACCGAGAGTGAAATCAGGTGCTCGAGAAGGTTAAACTTTTCCAGCTCATTGTCCAAATGTAATATAAAAGCGGATAGTAAGTCATATAAAAAAGAAGATGTGGTATGATTGCCAATGAAACAATTCTCCACAAGAGACCAAATGACACAGATTTTAACAACTATAGGTCACCGTACGGCCTTCAACAATGAGCAAAGCCCATACCGCATGGTCACTATAAGAAGGACGGACTAGGAGTACGACAACGGGAACACATCCATAACCATTTGTGAAATGGACATTCCATAATGCTCAACCAAATCGTGATGGCGACCATAAGATTTTTAAGTGAGGATATTAAAGTTATTTTCTGTAACTCTGTTTAAATATCTTATTCGATAAAGATAGTCCTCTATCTATGAATCCTTTGTACTGCACGCACGCCCTTGTGTAAAGTATCAGTTGTGAAATGTGGACTCCATGACGAGATATATGTTGCTGTATAGAAACGGAAAGTTCAGAAAACACGCATTTGTTGAAACTTTTCCAACCTCTTCCAGAACTGCTACCTATACGCCGTTTTTATAGTGTACTCTACAATTATTTTACTGACTGACAAAACAAAAAACTGAATATGAGATGAGTATGTTTAGGAAGTAAGGTGAACTGTTTGAGTACCCTCGGCGTACATGTCCACGTCCAATCTTAGTTCTCAGATACCAGTTAACCTACAAGCATGTAACTTGGGTGTGCGGCTTGCTTCCAAATGTAGGTTACCTTGACATGTATTCCATGCTTCAGAGGAGACAGACCACGATGATAATCCTGTTCAATGAAATATTATTAAAAACTATTTCTTGGTTAGTATTGAAAAAGTTTGATGTGCAAACTTATCTTGACTAGAATCAAAGTTGTAAATATATCAGTGTGACGTTTCCCCTCTCACTCCGTTTGTCCCGAGAGGAAAGAAATGAAGTCCAAAGAAGGCTATGGACAAAAATAACCCCAACCCCAGTACCATACTTAGGATGGGTCCCATGGGTGGGGGCTTTGGGTTGATTTTGTAATGTTCGTTCCCCTTTCTTTCGGAATGGTAGGGCTAGGGATCCCATTTCCTTTGTATACTTGTATATGTTTGCTTGATATTTGTGTCTTTGCGCGAACTTGTAGCCATCTTTGTTTCGTTTATTTCTATTTCAGGTGATAGTTATGTGAATTCGATATCGTTTGATATTAGCAAAATCTTAAGTTTTTTGAGGTTTTTTTTCGTATCATTTAACGACCTTGACGTAAACATAACTATATACGTTTGTCAGAAGCTCTTCATTTTCCTTCCAATGATATGTCAGGAGAACGGTGGCAATCAATAGTTAATACACTATCAATTTTCAGTTAATATGCATGAAGTTAACAACTGTTTTTCGAGATGTACAAACTTGACGGGTGAGTTATTTCAATTTGATATTACTTCTAGATTCAACAGAACTTTTTTAATATCCATGCATTTGGAAGATTTTTTGCACCTGCATTTTGCAATCGTTCATTCAGAAATGTGCAGGTCACAGGTGCAATTTTAAGGCTCTAGATGGTCACAGTGTGGGAACGGAACTGTACGTTTTTTTAATATTTTGGTCATTCGGGAGACTTTCAAGCGAGGCTCCGACAATCGAAAAAACAACAAGTTACTGAATGTAAGTTTTGATTAACGCACACGTTACAATATTACGTTTCTGCTTGAAGATTTGGTAATGAAAACATTCTACATATACATCTAGACCAATCGAATACCGAAAACGACATATGCAGCCAGACGTTTTCCCTTAAATGGTTGAGCTTCGAGTAAATCGCTTAAAATTCTCCATCAACAGGGAATAAAATTTAAAAAAAAATGCAAAAAGATAATCGTCACTACAACAATTTTTACAATTAACTCTTTTCTGATATATAGTCTAACCACTCTGAAAGTTTGATAACCATCGTCTCAGTAGAAAAGAAAATAA